ACAACGTAAAAGGATTAGGAGATACCAAAACACAGTTAGGGAAAAATTCACCTTACAAAATAACACATGCAAAATCAGCAACTTTTCAGTAAGGATTCATATACATATACTACATATAAGTATAAGTTCGATATAAACTCACTGTGCTTTATTAAAAACAACCGAACGCTGTAACATCCAGTTCTTACCAACAATAGCATTAAACCTTCAAAGGCTCTAAATAGCCTTAAAACAGCCCCTGGAGTAAACATTTCAAGTATCAATAACCAACTATATCCCAACCTCAAGTTATACACTTTAGATCTTGATTATCCAATTTACATTTTCTTGTACAGCCCTCTGTTCAGCCCCTGTTTTACCATACTTAGATTCAGATTTAGCAATTGACCTGAAAATACTAAATAAAGTATCCTCTTAAAGCTTTATAACTCACTGCATGTTGCAGATTTTACCCAATTTAGCTTCATATTCACACATTAATCAACATTATCTTTTATAATCTTTCAAATGCAGATCCTAGCCTCTAAATAACACTTCTACTTGGAATAAACTCGTAATTAGAAGCATACTTTTGATAATTAGCACATAATCTTCAAGAATCTAACATGGATCTTCGAGGATTGAAGGATTAKTCTTAAGTGTGTGTAAATCGCATCTTGAGTGTGTGAGAGTTCTAGAGGTGAGAAAATATGACTGATTTAGAGAGCTAGGCATGGTTTTGACCTGTTTTGGTCAACAAGTCAACCTAGTTTGCCATAGTTGATAGTTTTAGTCCCTCATGCGTAATTTGGTCGTTTCAACTCCGTTTCGCACGAAACTTTCCAGATCTCATAATTGATATATAAGAGGCTTAAATATAAAATTTCAGCCTCTAACTCAATCCAGAAGTCCATATTCCAATCTAACTTAAGTAAGTACTAATCCATAAAATACTATACTAATTTAATTAAACATGCTTAGCAACTTAAATGGGCTTTTAGTAAGTTGGATGTTACACAGTTAATGCATTTTTTGATACATGATCCTCAGTTTCGATATTGAATCCTGACATTCTACCTAGAAATTACTGGAAACCGCATCACCAACACTTCTTAGCATCCAATGGTGACACGTTCATCATTGACATGATAAGTATCCCGATATACATTAGACTCTTTCCCAAGTGCCTAATCAAACACAAATTGTTGGTATCAAGTTTACATGGAAAGGATCTACTGATTAAGTTCAATATCCTCCATATACTACCAGGTCTGAGATATGCAGAATAAGGTCTCTGTTATAAGAGTTTTCTAAATCCTTGGAGTCCAATCCAAAGGCTCTACATGACCTCTACTCTTACCATGGAAACTCTCAGACAACAAATTATCTAGACTTCTTGTGCCTCTAACCATACTGAGTTCTTCACAAAAAATAAAAACCTATTATGGTTAAACCCTTCGTTCTTTGTTACCCTCCCATTCAAACAAAATGAAGACGTGAACCCAACAAAAGCAAGCCATCCCGATATGAATCCTGACCATTACCAACTTGCAGTTCAAGAATGCTCAAAACTCGTTAATCAAGGGATCATAGAGCCGATTACATCGCCGTGGCATGTGAAGCATTTTATGTCAACAAAAGAAGTGAACAAGTTCATGGTAAACTAAGATTGGTAGTAAATTATCAGTCTCTCAATCACTTCTTGGCCGATGATAAATTCCCTCTTCCCCAAAAGAAGTCGTTGTTCTAATCCCTGACAGATGCAAGAGTACTACCTAAGTTTTGATCTTAAAAAAATTAACATATGAAAACCTGATAGAAACTTACTAGAATTTATGACAAATGTAACAACGAACGATGGATAATGGAGCAACGCCGCAAACAACAAGCAACATATCGCGTTTATGAATATACAAATCAAGATGTTTACTTGAATTGAAGTTGTGGGAAGCAAGTCATTCAACAAAGTCAGGGAATGAACTACATAGTTGTTTACCAGCGGACGGCGATCTAAGCATACGTGCTGATAACGTGTTATAGAATAACCGAAAGAAAACAAGAATAGAATGGAGAGAATGAATCAATAATTCTCATTAATCAAAAGTCGTTTAAATAAGGATGAGATACAAATAGATAGCTATTATAGATATTAATTATAATCCATCTCTAATATGTTTATCTCTATCTATTACGTCATATTTTTTACATAGGATGTAATACAAGTAGATAACTATGATAGATATTAGAAATAATTTATATGTATTTATAATACTTAATAATATGATTAAATCAAACGATGATATTAGTATAATTTGTAAAAAAACATATTTTTAATGCATTTTAGGTAATATGATAAAAATGTAAATAAAAAAAATTATAAAAGGTAAGAATTTTTAATTTAATTAATTAAAGTAATAATAATTTTGGGAGAGTGCATATATCATTTGGCTGATATCCATACATCTCCAAATCCTATCTTCACCTCTCCCCCCATTCCAAAGAAGGAAACATAGAAAAAAAACAATGCATTCATCGTCTTCAAGAAGGAAGGATTCATGTGATAATGATCCAGCAGCCAATTCAGTGATAGTTGGTCTACCTCTCTCCTCTCTCTTGTTCTTCAAATCCACAACTACCAATCATTTCCAAAGAATCGTCACCGAATCGTCCAACACTTTGATTCGCAACCTCCGCAATTCCATTCATAAATGCCTCAATTTTCTCCAAAATCCCCTTTTCACCAAATGGCATTCTGAATATCACAACTTCTGCCAGGTAATTTTACCCTTCATTTACTTACAATTGTAGAATCCTTCACTAATTGGTCAAGTATTACACATGAACATGAAAATAGGGTTAAATACACAATCTATTTTCATAAAAGTTTTATTATAGCATTATATACTGTAATTTTTAGAACAAAAATTATTTTTATATTAAGATATTGTCATAACAATCGGTAAACACAGTTAACCGGTTGTATTAGGTGTACCTCTGTTGTCAATTGATCATGATGAGGAATTAGTTGGATATTTATGAGTATATAACTGCAAAACCTTCAAAGCAAGTGTTTTTACAAGTTTCGTTGGTACTTTTAGTTGGAAGTTTAGGAATATATGTCTTACAAGGACTACGAAATTTAGAACAGTTAACATTAGGGACCAGATAATTAACAATTAGGCATATTGCTAAATAAAATGCTTGTAATATTTTGGCAAAGAAACTTGATACAACTACATGTTCAGAACTAACAATTACTAATTAACAGAAAATAAATTGATTTTTCAACAAACCTTCATAAACAAAACTCTATACTTGACGAATCCCAACAAATTACTATAAAAAACAATAATGTTAGTGATTTTAGTGTCATCAACTAGTTTTGTTGTAATTGTGATTTATTAGAGATCGACTAGGGTGATAAGGCAAACAACGTGAATTAGGAAGTGGGGAGTGCACGCTTACAAATGTTATCCCTATCACCTTATATTGTCATAGAGTTGGGTCAAGAGGGGGCAAGGGGTAGTCCCCGAATCCCCTATGGAGGTTAAGAAGAGTTGACTTAGGAGTTTTAAGTTTTGAGATGACCTGGTCGAATTTTGGAAGGCTGGAAACCTTCTTAAAATTGTTCCTAAACTTGGTGAAAATTAGCCTAAGTATAGTTTAGAGCATTTGTGATCAAAGCCTCTGATCCTTCTGATCAAAGGTTCCGAGTCATTGTAACCGGAGCCTACTGTCCAGAGCTTTTGGACTTTGAGTTGCTAACCAAGGTTGGCGGATAGGGTCTCTAGACCTATTGTCCAAAGCTTCTGAACATATCTATATCTATACTATATTATAGAGTATTTGACAAAAACTCTTAAAACCCATTTTTTATGCATGAAGTACTGTTTATTGATGCATATTACTTACAATTCAAGATTACAAGTAATTTTGCGTAAGTACAACTTATTAAAGCTCCATTTTTGAATTCGTGTAACTAACTGCAGATAAACATAATCAAATACAGGATAAACATCCATTTTGTATATAGAAAATCTAAAATATAATTAAGATAATCATTGAGTTCTGACAGAATGTTTAATTATTATCTTTATAAAAAATTATATCATTAAACCAAAAATAAATTACTTTGTTATTAAATCTAAATTAAACTATAATAAAAAAATTAAATAAAAAGTTACACCAAAACAACGAGAACTATTAAGTAGTTAATTTAATACTAATAGCGAGTTTATTTTTTTTCAAAATTTTATGTTATCTTCAAATTTTATATTTCATTCAAAAATAAAAACATTATCGTTTTCTCAAAATCACATAAAATCGTATTATATCGATAGAGACAGAATAGAAACTAAATATTAAAATGGAAATTTATCTCGATGCATTGCACGAATACCCTTCTAGTAGTTTACTAATGTTAGTAATCAAAGCCTCTAGACCTTTTATCTAAAGCATCTAATCTGGGGTTTCACCTCTGCTCGGTACTTCTAACTCAGAGCCTCTGAAGTAGGTTGTAACTGTCGCTAATTCTTGTTCGCTAATGGTTGTAACTACAATGCGGTTACATGTTAACCACCAAACCTGTAACTGTCTATCTCCCTTCTGATATGGTGGATATATATATATATATAGAGAGAGAGAGAGAGAGAGAGAGAGGAAGATAATCATATTTTATTTTTGAAAGATAATCAATAATAATGTTTAAATGATTTTTATATAAAGGTGAAACCAAAAATCGAAACAATGATCTTTGTATGAAATTCATATGTGAAACCAAATAGTCAAAGTTTTTTTTTTAAAGTATATAATATTTATATACGGCAAATACAACAAATAAACTCACACAACCTCCTCACCTTTGGTGAGGTTTGAACCCTTGACCTCCTAGGAAGCCAAGGGCTACGATACCGCTAGGCCGAAGGCCCTTTGGTCCAAATAGTCAAAGTTCATGGATGAAATCAGAAAATTCATAGATGAAACAATAAAGTCGTTTAAAGTTCATAGGTGAAAAGCAATGATTTTTGTTTTTCATGTGTATGAACTTTGTTTGTTTCAAAATTTTTACCAAAGTTCATAGGTGAAACTAGATAGTGAATGAGATAATTGATGAACTTTTAAACAAGTTCATAATAGGTGAAACAATTAGGTGAATGCGATAATTAAGGAATGTAATAACTAAGTGAATGAGCTATTTAAGGAATGTGGTATCAATGTACAAATAAATGAAAATGTCCCGATTAACAAAATTTGTACTATTTTGTTGGTTAACAAAAGAATGAGCCTATATATATTACAAATTTGTGCCTTAATTCATGTATGTAAAAACAATGCATTCATCGTCTTCAAAACAAAACTAATTGTCTCTATCATAGCAAGTGAAGTAAAACAAAACTAATTGTCCCTATCGATATAATACGATTTCCAATACACGATTATAGAATTTATCCAAGTATACTCTAACCATAAAACCTAGATTCTCCGACAAGACAATATAAATCGCACTCATATTTAAGAAATGTAGAAAGAATAAATAAAACCTAGAATACAATATAGAATTGATGTATTTCTCTAAAGGTGAAAGGTTAGCTGAAATGATGTAAAAGTTGGAGGTAATAAATAATTTAAGGTTAGAAATTATTTCTCCATGGCAAAATGCTAGTCCATGGTGACTTGTATGCTGGGGGCAAGTGCCCCTACCCACCAAGGGTAGATCCGCCCATGCTCCGACCGACCTGGTGCACATCTCCCCTCTCACTTAAACTTGTACTAGTTTTGTTTTACTTCACTTGCTATGATGTTGCTCCATCCTGAGTGGTGCATCTATATGCCCTTGCAGGCTTACAACCATCCACGTAAACACAAAAGTATCCTTTCAAATATTATTGTAAAAGAAGTGTAGCTTCCCAATTAATCCACTATTCCTAGGAGATGACCAAATTGCCGATGTATCATTTCTCTCCTTAATTCATATGATCCAATTTAAACCGACCGATCCAATTAGAACCGATCGACTATAATCCGACATCCAATTGTAATTGGATCGGATGATCCAAAATTTCAACATCCAAATCGGATCAGTCGATTCTTGGATAGTAGTTCAACATCCAATAAAACCGAACTGATCCAATCCAATTCCCCATCCAATTATCATCCAAGTAATTTCCAATTAATAACTATATAATTATAACATTTTACGATATTGTTTTTTAGTTGATATTTATATATATTGTTTTTTTAATAACTTCAGAAAATATATGAATAATCAGTTGAAATGGTGGATTAATTGATTGAGTATTGGATCAAAGATTGGATGAATCCAATTAAGAGCATGTTTAGTGTATTCTTAATTAAGAGCATGTAATGTGTATTTAAGCATATGAATGAAATAGTTGATTTCATAATGGCAAACTTTTTTGAGTATTTTAAGTTCAAGTAAACATGAGACGGCTCCCCCCTAGGACAGAGACAAAAGAGTGGTGTAGAATCCCTCGATATAATAGATCCGAGCTATGATATCATATGAGAATACGTGGAACCCCTTTGATTCTTTCTTTAAAAGAGCCTTTACAGAGAGAGGGGAAGTTCCTATATATATATATATATATATATATATATATATACATGTTTGATGTTTGGTGTTTAGCCGATGTGGGACTCGTTAAGTAAAAATATTAATTCAAACTTGTAGCTTGAGCAACATAATTTTCTATGATATGTTACAGTTTTCAAGATATGACTGAAACTATAACATGTGTCTGTCAATGTTTATAGTGTTTGATGTGTGTGCATATTATATATATATATATATATATATATATATTTTGTGTGTGTGTGAATATACACACACACCCCACAAAAGAACATAGTTCTGCTTGTTATGTTCTGAGTTTTTGGTAAAGAGGATTGTTATGAGATTGTAGAAACCAAGTGAAGGGATCATTAAAAGGCTATCTATCATATGAGCCCTACCAAGTAAAAAATGTCTAAAGATTAAATCCATCCTTGAATTATCACAAAGGGTATATACAGGTTAGAAAGGTAACACCTAATCATATAGAGTAGGGATGAATATCCATCTATCCTGAATAATGGACAAGCATGAAAGGAAGCAATCTTTGCAAGATATGTTAATTGCTACTAATAAAAGAGACAAATAGACGAAATTATTATTATTATTATTATTATTATTATTATTATTATTATTATTCAGGTTGTATATATAATAATGATGTGCTTCTTACCTTTTGCACTCATACTTTTTCACAAGTTGGGGGGAGAGGACAGGTAGGCTCTACCTTCGAGTGGGATATACGGGGTTCATTTGAAGTGGTTTGGTTTTTATATATTGAACAAGTGATCTTGACTGCAAGGAGCAGAAAGTCATTTCTTCTTAACTTCACTCTTTCAGATTAACTGCAGAAAGCAGAGGAATTTGAAATCTCTATCGAATCACGATTTTGCTGCCATTATCCCAGGAGATTCTGTAGCAGGGCTTGTTGTGTCTAATGGTGTTCTAAATTTCTTGAACATCTACAACACATTGTTGGTTGTGAGGCTAGTTCTCACCTGGTTTCCCAACACTCCTCCAGCCATTGTGAGTCCCCTCAGGTATTTTTCTAGAAACCTACAATACTAGCCATGTTTTAAATGATGTTCTAGTTAGATCATTTAATAGCTATCATTCAAACAATATTCTTGTTGAAAATGGTTTGGAACATGAAAATCTGTTCAGAACACTTGTCAAACAAACGTTTATATTTCAGAACCAAAGCCTCTTAAGTCATTTAGGCTTGTCGTTCATTCGACATTAATTACTTCAGTTTCATCAAATAAAGGAACGATTAACGTCCAAGAGCATTGGTAAAGAATGATGTATTATTATACTTGTATAATAGGTTACAACAAAGCCTCATAAGATGAAGACTGGGAAATAAATATATAGAATCAAGCAGGGGTTTCTTTTAATTGAAACTTTTATGGTTTTGCATAAGGTGGTTTGACTAGCCATTTAGGACGTCCAATAGTCCCTTTTTCTCTCTACTCCTCGGGGTAGACCCAGACGCAATGTGGGATCCACTGGGTTGGTTTTACTAATGATTGGTATTTGGTTTTGGTCTATGAGATTCTACTTGATATTTGATTTTGGTTTAGTTTTACTGTTATTTGGTTTTACTGATTATTTGTTTCTACAGCACTTTATGTGACCCCTACTTGAACATCTTCCGTGGGGTTATCCCACCGCTTGGAGGGACTTTGGATCTCTCTCCTATACTGGCATTCCTTGTGCTAAATGCCTTAACCAGCACTGCTTCGGCACTTCCTGCGGAGCTTCCAGTTCCATCCACAGATCAAAAGGGCTCTTCACGCCCATCTTTTCACACAGCATTATCTCACCTTACCTCATCCCAGAAGAAATGGATGAAAAGGTTCAGTACAAATAGGTCCAGTGACTCGAGCATTGATGACTAATTCATGGAACAACTTCTTTTGATTTGGAAACTTGTATTGACAGCCTTTCTGGTGTACAATATTTTGTATTTTGTAAAGTCTCAAGTCATATATCTGATTGTGGTACTGTTCTTTCATGTTAAAAGTACGTACTTGTATCATATATTTGAGGCGACGAATAAGATGGTGAAGTAGTTATACCAGAGACTTGAGAGGGGAATAGTGCAAAAGAACTCCCACAGATTCAAACATATCCTGCTTCAATCCCACCATCTGCACTTGCGGGTTTCTGTGTCTACATGCAAAATTTCCTTTACTCTGCATAAAAGACATTCAAAATTACATAATCTCTTAACACCAACAATTTCTCACACTCCACTTCTTCCAAGTACGAAAAGATACCTGGTGCATCGATGTTTCCTCATGTGGGATCTTGTCCCACATCGGAAGGTAAACAAACAGTTGTTCAACTAATAAATGCAAATCCTTCGTTAGATCAAGTAAGTTGCATTTTTATTAATTAAACGCGTTTTTTTGTTTTATGTTAATTTCTGGATAATGTCAAAAGGCCTGTCAAGCCAAGCCATAAATACCAACTAATTCATTCATACAATCATCTCTCTATTTTCCCTGTAGATAGATGTTCATTGGAATACCAATTGATGTGTTCTTATTCTAGATTAGGAATCCTGGGGTGTATTAGCCAAGACACATTCAACACCTATTGTGAAAGCTGATAATATCCTACGAACGATTTAACTCTTTATCCTAATCTAATTCCCGTCTAATTCATTTATGTAAATATCTGTAATCTTAATCATAATTTTACCCATTAGTAATCAACACTTGAGATCGATAGCTTTGATTTTTTTCAAAGAACTTCTTTTATTGTGTCTTTGAAGCGATATTTTCAATAATCAATAGTAAAAAATTATTATTAAAGTATTGTCAAGTTTAAGTAACATTCTTTTGGGGGACGGAAGGAGTAAAAGCATACGAGTATCATGCAAAATGTTCAATGTTCAACATAAAAGCTAACGAAAATTCTTTTGAATCAAAATGAACACTACGGTATATGCAATGATTATGACTGGGCAACAAATGAGCTTAACTCAAAAACAGATTAAGATTGCTTTGGTACCCATTTCTCATTGGGTCAAGCGGAGTTAGAGGAAACATCCACTGACGCTGAAGACTTAGGGTCAGTAGGTGTCTTCACTGAGCCTGAAGAAGAGGCATCAGTGAGGTTCTTCATCTTAGGGGCTGTTTGTTTCCCTCTTAATGGTGACATTAAGAGGGAGCCTCTTAATCGGTCAGAGGCTTGGAGTGTTTGGCACAAAAAATGAAACCTCTTAATGGTTACATATCCCTCTTAACCATTTTGTGTCCAACCCTTCACTCAACCATTCAGATCTAATGTTTTCCAAAATTGCCCTCTCTACACAGCGTTTCCTTCACATCGCCTCCCACCCCTCACGATCGCCATCTCCGGTCGCCATCTCCGGTCGCCATCTCCGATCGCCATCTCCGGTCGCCATCTCTGGTCGCTCTTCCACAGTCGCCGTTCGCTCTTCCACAGTCGCCGTTCGCTCTTCCACAGTCGCCATCTCCGGTCGCTCTTCCACAGTCGCCATCTCTGGTCGAAACCACATATTGAAACCCTAATTTCTTGTATGAAACCACCGATTGAAACCCTAATTTTCTGATCGAAACCATCGCATAACCCTAATTTCTTGTATGAAATCTCATGTTGAATCAAGGCTAAAAACATTAAAGACACTGTGATTTAATAACAAATATGAAAGATGCATTTGGATGCTAACAGAGCCTTGGTTTGGATTAAATCATATAGAGGGGTAAAATGGTAATTTGTTGTCATTCAGATAACATTTACCAAACAACCATATTTCATTCGGCACTTAACCATTCTGGCCCTCTTAATCATTCTGACCACTTAACCATTCTGCACAAAACCATTCAGCAACTGCCAAACAGCCCCTTAGTCGTTTTCACAACTTTAGTGATAGATTTCACCTTAGTTGATTTTTCATCCTTGGTTACTTTCTTTACCTCAACTGGCGGACCAGCCTTGGTAGCTGAAGGACACTTACTGGCAACATGTATAGTTTCACCACAGTGTCTACACTTCCTATAGCTGAAGCCAGCTTTAGGGCCAGAGAGGTCCAAAGGAATGGAAGAGGGACAAGCTCCAATGATTCCCTTCTCATTTATTCTAGGAGGAACAACTGAGGGTTTGGATACCTTGGGTGAAACATTCACTTTAATCTTTGGCTTAGGTTTCTGAGAGGATTCAGATACCTTGTTCCCAGAAGAAGAAAAAGGTGCACAAGCTAAAGGTTTAGATTTGGGTTTATTTGACTTGTTGGCCTTCTTAGGAAGAGGAGCAATGACAATGGATTTACCTTTGTCTTTGAATCCGGAACTCGAAAGAGTTTCTTCAAGATGACTCTCAGTAAAAGAATACTTAGAGGAAGAAGTGTCAGGAATGGAGGAGACAAAGGTGCCAAACTTTAGTATGGAACTTTCAGTGACACTATCTTCCTGATCATAGGAAAACCTAGACCAGTCTTTATCTTGGCAGTGATCTGAACGTTCATGATCTCAGAGGTTTTAACAGAGGCTTTACACCACCCTTTAATGGTAGCCTTCTCAGCCTTGAGTTTAGCAATAGCTTGCTCACTCTCAGTTATAGCTTGTTCACGTTCGATGCTAATGGTTGGTTTACAATGACTCAATCCTTAAGATCTTCTTCAATCTTTGTCAGCTCTTTGATCTTAGAATGACATTTCTCTAATTGTTCTTGAAGATCAAGATTAAACATTTATGCTTTCGATTTGCCATTCAGGGCATTGTAAAAGTCCACGGTCAGCGTATCTAGCGCAAATAGGCTATCAATGACAAAAGAAAATGGTTCATTCAGGGAACATACTTGAGTAAATGTAGATGATGAGGGATTACTGGAGGATGATGTATCAAATGGTTCATCTTTGACATCTTTGGCCATTAGACAAAGGTAGGTCATATCTTTCTCATCAAGGATGATTCTTTAGTAGAATCAACCTAGTCATGTTCTTCAACGATAAGACTTTTGCCTTTACACTGAGAACTCTTCATCTTCTTGTACTTCTCCTTCAGTTTTTGATATTTGTCATCTCTGGACCTGAAGGAGGATGGGGTTTTAGAAGATAGCGTCACAGTCTTCTTAGACCTCCATTCACTTACAAAGTGTCCTTTGCGTTGATAGTTGTAGCAGATCGCTAAAGCCTTGTCAATGGAATTTGACTTTGGCTTGTCCGAGTTGGTCAGCGAAGGAGATCTGTTGAAATTACTTTTTCTGGCAAACATTCTCAAAGATTTGGTTAGAAGGGCCAGTGACTCATCAAACTCTAAAAGATCAGGATCTGACAAGTCCTCAGAGTTAGTGGGATCTAACTTCGTTAAAGAAAAAAAAAGGAGGTTTAGAAGAATTTGAGGGGTCAGCTGAAGAACCCTCAGAGATCAAAGCTAACAGAGAGCTTTTCACTTCTCTTGAATCTTTAAGAAGATTCTTCTTCAGCCAACGGGACTGCTCATGATTGAGTAGTATCCCATAAAGAGAGCTAAGAGAAAGAGAGAGAGAGAGAGAGAGAGAGAGAGAGAGAGAGAAAGAGAGAGGACATATCCTTGGACATCTTGAGACACATGGTATATGGATCACATGATTCTAACAAGCATTCAAGAAACTTTGTCAAAGTCTCAGAGTTGGAATTTTTTTTTCCAACTGTCCTCAAGTCGATAAAAAGACAATTAAAACGTTGATGTACTTCAGACAACGATTCATTCTTTCTATAGAGAAATCTTTCATATTGTCTTACTAAGTTAATCTTACTCGATTCTTGTACTTCAGAAGTACCTCCATATTGAACACAGAGAGTGTCCCACATGGTTTTCGAGGTTCTGAGTTTCATCATGGAGTGATGTACCTCGTTACGAAGAGACATGGCTATTATAGACCTCGCACGAGTGTCTAAAGCCATCTTCTTTTTGTCTTCATCACTCCACTGATGAGGGAGCTTAGGAATTTACCGTTCAGGAATTGCAGCAGTCGTAGCAGTTGCAGGAACTGCTGGAGATATAACATATAGGGTCCACTTTCTATATAGTGTGGAATCTCAGGATCCACACCTTCCAAGAAGAGAGACATACGATTCTTCAAGAGACTAAAGTTGTCTCTTATGAAACGGGGAGGTTTGGCAAGAGAGCCATTATCGTGAAAGTGAGTGCTAGTGTTTTTAAAGCCATTTGTAAAGGAATAAATTATATAAAGTAGAGAAGATAATAAAATGCCGATAAAGTAACAAAACAACACAAAAAGCAAAGCCTGCTCTGATACCACTTGTTGGTCCCAACTGGATCTACAAGAGTTTATAGGTGATCAGTTTGTAGAGGGGGCGGGGGGATGAATACAAACACATAAACTTTCATTTTTTAATTATATATTGATAAAGAAGGATCAATACAAATTTTGCAGACTGTTTGCGGAAAATATAAGGTAAAGAAAAACCTATCTAAACAATCTACAGGTACACACAAATACACTTAGCAAATAGAAAAGATTTGCTAAAAGAAGGTAAGATTTAAAAATGTGTCCTTCACTTTCTTGAAGTGGTTCTTTCTCTTTAGAGAGAGAGAGAGTAGAGATAAAGGTTTCTTCTTGGGTATGTTGTTAATCACATTAAACACATAACAGGATTTAATCACATGATCTCAATTGAAAACGTAAAACTTAAAACTTACTTGGAAAGCCAATCTTGATAGGATTGTTCATTGACAAAGAAGAAACCATTGTCACGATATGACTTCGAATTCTTATTCTCGTTATTATGCCTTCTTCTTGATGGATAGATTAAGAGGACAAGATTATGGTGTTTTGGGAGAGAGAATTTTTGATCTCTCCTTAAATGTCCCCTGTACGTGAGAAAGCATTAAAGAGAAAACTAATTTTGACCATCTTATTTATATGGCAGTTACTTCCATCAAGTAACTAATTATGTCATGATGGTATAATTAAGGGTATAAATCATAAATATTTTAGTTCCCACAATTTATAACATAAATGGTCCTAAGGCCACATAAAATAGGAAATATTCCAGCATTCTCCCACTTGGACTAGTGACCATTTATGATTAGATTCATCATAAG